ATTCCTATGAAACTGCGAAAAAAATGAAACAACGGTGAGTCACCAGGAAAGGAGAGGAAATTACCAGCTCTACAGTGTTTGCTGTACAGCTTCTGATTCATCATTGTTGTAGGAGAAAGCCTATTTATTTCCAGTGCGTATATTTACGTCCTGTGAAAATCCCAGTCTCATCAAGCCCCATTAGCTGAAAAAATGATCTGTGAGTCAATTAAAGTTATAACCTCATGTAAAAGGTTCACAAAAACAAGGAAGAGATTTAAATGCTATTTCTTAGAGTAAAAATTCAGAGAATTCGTATATTTGCCAAAAAAACCTTTAACATAGGTAATAAGGACTACCTTAAGAATGCAGGATATAAAAAAGCAAAAAAAAAAAAAAAAAAAATTCACTATAGAATAGGCAAAAATTTGGTTTTCCAAAATAAGTAAATAAATTACAGTTGCTTATTTGTCTTGGTCGGGATGCTTTGATAGTCTCCACACCTCAAAGCAGAAACAATAGTTTGTTAGTACTGTCCATGACTCCAGAGTGAAATACTGCCTGGTCCTGTACCATCCCCGTCATTGGTTGTAGATTGGACAGCTGTGATCCATAGGGCTTTCATTGACTGATTTTTCAGAATTGCCAGGCATTTCTTCTTAGTCTGTCTTAGCCTGGAAGTTGCAATAAAACCTATTCAGCATCATAGTAACACACGTCTCTGTTGAAAGATGGGTAGTGGCTACGCATGAGGTGCATTGGTGGTGGTGTTCAGTGCTTCTGCCTCACAGTGATACTATATCAGAGGGGGTGGGGAACTTCCGGGCAGCGGATCACATAAGGCTCAGGAGATCATGTGGTCTGGCCTTGCCAAGGCAACCCCAGCAGTTCTAGCCATCACCTTATTGTTGTTGTTAAGTGCTATCGAGTTGGTTCCAACTCATCGTAACACTAAATAGGGTTTCCAAGGAGCAGTTGATGAATTTCAACTGCCGATCCTTTGGTTTGCAGTCCTGTGCTGACCCTTCAGTGCCATGCCAGGAGTCTAGCCATCACACTGCTGTGCTGTGTTGTTAAGTTCTGTTGAGTTGGTTCTGACTCATAGCGACCCTGCAGAGGGTTTCTAAGGAGTGGCGGTGAGTTTGAACAGCCAACCTTGTGGTCCAGTGCTTTATCCCACAGCACCATACGAGGACTCGAAAACCAGCTAACATCACATACCTCACCAAAGAGAAGCACTTGCAACCACCACATTATTGTTGTTGTTAGGTGCCATCGAGTAGGTACCGACTCATAGCGACCCTATGCACAACAAAATGAAACACTGTCTGATCCTGGGCCAGCCTCACTACTGTTGCCACGCTTGAGCCCACTGATGCTGCCACTTTGCCAATCCATCTCGCTGGGGGTCTTCCTTTTATCTCTGACCCTCCATCTTACCAAACATGATATCCTTCTCCAGTGACTGGTCCTTCCTGACAATATGTCCAAAGTATGAGAGACGAAGTTTGGCCCTCCTGGCCTCCAAGGAGCACTCTGGCTGCACTTCTTCCATTTTGTTGTTGTTAGGTGCCTTCGAGTCGACACCGACCCATAGTGACCTTATGCACAGCAGAACGAAACATTGCTCGATCCTGGGCCAACCTCACTACTGTTGCCATGCTTGAGTTCATTGATGCTGACACTTGACCAATCCATCTCATTGGGGGTCTTCCTCTTTTCTCTGATCCTCCACCTTACCAAACATGATATCCTTCTCCAGCGACTGGTCCCTCCTGACAATATGTCCCAAGTATGAGAGATGAAGTTTGGCCATCTTGACCTCCAAGGAACACTCTGGCTGCACTTTTTCAAAAACAGATCTACTGGTTCTTTTGGCAGCCCATGGCACCTTCAATAGTGTCCTCCAACACCATAACTCAAAAGCATCAATTCTTCTACGATCTTCCTTACGCACTATCCAGCTTTTGCATGCATATGAGGTTATTGAAAGTACCATAGCTTGAGCCAGGTGCACCTTTGTCCTCAAGCTGACATCTTTGCTCTTCAACACTTGAAAAATTTTCTTTTAAAAAACACTTCTTCCATTGTTGTTGTTGTGAAGTGCCGTCGAGTCGGTTCTGACCCATAGCGACCCTGTATAGGGTTTCCGAGAAGCAGCTGGTGAGCTTCTTCCATTTGGAGCGAGTTAATTAAATGTTTGACCAAATATAGCGGACTAATTTTTAAGTTGATAATTCTGTATGGCCTGTGAAAGATATTACAAATTTTGGCAGAAAAAAAAAAGGTTCCCCATCCCTGTTGGATAGGGTTTCCAAGGAGCAGCTGGTGCATTGGAACTGCTGACCTTGTGGTTCACAGTGCTGATCCTACAGTACTGTACCAGGTTACATGCATGAAGGTAAGAATTCTATCACTGAACCAACAATGCTGACAAAAACAACATAATGTCCATCAAAAGGGAATTGGTTAAACAAGTTACTTATTTACATACAATGGAATATTATTGTTTTTGTTAAGTGCCACGAAGCAATCCTGTTTAGGATTTCCAAGAAGCTACTTGTGAAGTTGAACTGGCAACCTTTTGGTTACCAGTCCTACAACTGTAGTTTATCCTACAGCATCAGACAGCTTTAGAGAAAGACTATAAAGAGATCTGTTTAAAACTGACCTGGAGAAAAAGGGCAGGGCATAGTAAGTCTGGAGAGGATGATTTTCCCTCTTTTAACAACCTTAACATATAGACTGACAAAGCTTGAGCCATTCTCTTACAGCGTTTATCACAAGGGAGAGGTTGAGGTTGAAAGAAGGCTTCCTGTCTGAATTCATGTATTTCTATAGTGTTTGTTTTTGGGTTTGTTATAAACAACACCATAGTTAACAACAAATAGTTGCACAACAATAAATAAACATGATTTTAAGAAAGCTTTGAAAAACAATGGATAAAATGGATATTATTCATTACGACAGTATGACACTTATTAGAAATTTGGTTTTAGAAGCAAATTTTAAAAATAAGTAAGAGCCGTAAACGGGATCACATTAGAAAGTCCTGGATAGACCAGCATAATGTGTGGAACAAAACTCAAAATTATGTTTAAAATAGAAGCAAAAAATAAGACCGGGCTTAATGGTCAAGAAGAGACTGGAGGAATGTGAGATAGTGGCCCTTGAACACCCTTCAGGTCTGG